CATGGGGAAAATTGAGGGACCAGCAGGGAGAGCCCATGGGAAACTTTATCTGTGTCAAGTTTTCCTTCAATTCCCAGATGATGGAACGAAAACGTGGTTTTCTTCTCCCCCCACCTCAAACGGGAAAATTTCCATATCGTTATAGGAGTGGTTTGTGACAGGAGACAGCAAGCTGTAATACCCCAAGCCTCGCCGGGAATGCGTTGCTGGGGATGCAGTCCTGGCCTGGGGGTGTTGGCAGTGCGGGTGACATCCACGGTGCAGGGGTGTACAGGCTTTGCCAGCAGCACCTCAGCCCTACGGACTCTCCTCCGTCCCCCGTCCAGCTGGAATCGCTGTCAAACTATTTTATCCTGAAGAAGCGGATGAACCTGGTGTTCCCAGGCCTGGTCTGCCCATCCTCTTAACCCATCCCATCACCATGTGCCTTTTTTTTGGGGTTTTAAACTCTTCAAGGACTAATAACAGAGCTCGTATCAGATCCTGGAAACAGGAGGTGTGGTTCTCTGTAAAAGGGAAGATAACCATGTGAAAAAGGGCAGAGAGACGAAGTGAAACCCTGGGTTCTTTGGAGGGAAAGTGCACGTGGCCTCTGGGACCAGGAGCTGTAACAGCACAAGGCTGAGATCAGCACTTGGGGGCAGATGGCTTTCCCTTTCCCTTCACCCACAAGCCGCTCTGAACACAGCCACCTCAGAGCTTCCCCATCTCTTGTCGCACCCAGGCCAAGGGGGCAAATGCCTAAACCTGTGGCCTGCCCCCATCCTGCATGTCTCTCTCTCCCCCCGTCTCCAGGGCCAGTCTGCTCTGAATTCCCAGAGAAGCCGTGGTTTCAGACCTTCTGCCGGTTCGCCCAGTACCGCTGCTTCCAACGCCAGTTCTACGTCAAGGTGAGGAGCGGGAATGGGAAGGAGGAATGAGGGAGTATCACTGGGAAGTGGGAGGGGGTGAGGAGGAAGGGAAGATAACACAGCAGGACTTACGTTTCACCCTCTCTTCTCTGCTCAGCGAATCCCATGTCCAGGTTTGTCTTCCTCAAATCACCTTCTCCCACCGGCAGAGCAACCTCGTGCTTGGGGATCCTGGACCAGGGGTCAAAGCTTCGCTACAGAAGGAGGTACGGCTGCACCGAGCTGCGCTGGCGGCCCCGCTCGCCCGCTGATCTCCCACAGCTGCTCTTTCCCCCGGCAGCTTTCTGGCTGGCCTCAGAAAGGTGCCCTCAGCCCCTCTTTCCTGCTCTTTCCCCAGCTCCCGGGCAGGCTGCTCGCTCGTCTGTTGATGAGCTGCTGCGCACCGGCGTGGATGCTCTCCTGAAGTACTCCTACGCACTGTCGAGCCAGGAACCGCTGCCGAAGAAGCCCTCCATGGCCATGCCAGGCCTGCTGGGATCTACACAGGACAGGGAGCTGCCTCTCTCACCGACCCAGCTGGTCCCGGCTTCTCGTGCCCCCTCACCTCCCAGGCTGGGATCCTCTTCCCAGCCAGAGAAAACCTGGGAGCAACACCTGCAGAACAGCATCTGGGAGCTGATCCAGTTGGCCTTATCCTTGGAAACGCATCAGGTCACCGCAGGCTCTTCTCGGAACTCCACTGACAAGCCACACACCGGGAGCATGCCAGGCAGCACCAAGGAGGGGGTGCAGGGAACGGTTCCCCCCGGCAGGTGAGATGAAGAGCTGTTTCCCTGCCCGGCAGGGTCCCGCACACCACCCTGGTAGCCCCCTCACGCTCATGCCCCTGCCCTGAGCAGCCTGGGGAGCACAGGCGGGCTCTCCGGAGCACGCCATCCCACCCAGAGCAGGAACGTCCCCGGGGAGCCCCTCTGACACCCCCCGCTCCAGTGCTGAGGGAGAGGGTGACCCAGCACTGCTCGTGCCTGACATTGCTACTGTCCTTGTGCCCCAAAAGGGCATTTAGGCTGGGCCTGAGCTACAGGCAGGGCCTTACCCCTGCACGGGTACCCCCACACTGCCGCTGCCTGCAGTGGGTGATCACTTCTGCACCCATCCTCCTCCCAGCTCGCGTCTCCTGGGAGTCTGGCTGACCTGCAGAAATAGCTTCCTTGCGGACACGGGTTCCTGGGAATGTGCCTTGCCCCACTCCGCTCCTCTCCACATCCAACATGAGGCAGATGTTTATCAAAATAGGCCGACCCAAGTCAGACCATCCTCACCCAGGTAGAGCAGGAGCAGCTCTGGGTTAGGAAGCAGAGGCGGGAGCACAAAGCCTTGCTGACAGCCATGCAGGACCACTGCTCCTCCTCAGGCACGTGCACCTCCCCGGGCTCTGGATCTGCGCACTGCTCCTCCCAGGGCGTTTCTGCTGCCCCATTCTGGCTTTGAAGGCAGCCGCGTGCCAGTTCAGCGCAGGGCCCTGCGACAGCCCAGCTTACTGCGGCCCTCTTAGTTCCCCTGGCCTAGGGATGCTTTGATAGAATCACAGAGTCACAGAGCGGTTTGGGCTGGAAGGGACCTTACAGACCATCCAGTTCCAACCTCCCTGCCATGGGCAGGGACACCTTCCGCTAGACCAGGTTGCTCCAAGCCTCATCCAGCCTGGCCTTGAACACTTCCAGGGATGGGGCATCCACAGCTTCTCTGGGCAACCTGTTCCAGTGCCTCCCCACCCTCTCTGGGAAGAACTTCTTCCTGATATCCAATCTAAACCTCCCCGCTTTCAATTTAAACCCATTACCCCTTGTCCTGTCACAACAGGCCCTTGTAAAAAGTCCCCCCCAGCTTCCTTGTAGGCCCCTTTAGGAGCTTGTAGAGCATCTTGAGCTCTTCTCAGCTGATATTCCAGGGTCCATTCGCCTCTGTGCTCGGGCAGCTGGGGCTGGTGAGCCCAAACAGAAAAGACCTGCAAAAGGATCATGTATTTTCACTCAAATTTACTTTTTGATCCTTTAGTACTTTGTGGCTGAGGACCACTTGCTTTGGCTGAGATGCAAAGATTATTTTGCTTGCCAGGAGGAAAGAAACCCCACTGCTGTCTAGATGTGGTTTTCATGGAGAAGTCATTTTAGTTTCGCCCTGTTGCTGGCTAGAGATGTTCCTGTCAGCACGCCGCTTCTCCGCATGATTGCACAGCTGCGGTTTCTGTTGAAAACACTGCATTCTCCTTCAGTTGGGCCAGAGATCCCACTTCTGCATGTAAAAACGGATTGCATCCTGTTGTTAAAGCTGTAAATGATCTCTTGCAAGGCTGTAACTTAGGTCATCCTCCTTCCTAACGTTGTAGGAGGCTTTTACCGCATGGCAGATTTTCCCTGGTGTTGTGTATTCTAAGGCAAAATTAGGTTTCGCTGAGGATATGTTCATTTCCCCTGCGTCTGGCGTTGAGCCTTGCTCTGATTTAGCCACCCCGGGATTACTGAGGGACTGCTGCGATTGCGTGTGACAGTCGCTATCCTTCTGTGGAGTTGCTCAAAGACGCTAATGCTGACTGCCTGTCTGCAACCTGGCAGCCCCAGCCCCGTCAATCATGCTAAGCAAAGCTTAAACTCAAGTAGGGATAAAGAGCCGAGATAGACCGTGCCTGTCAGCTTTGCTGCTTGCCACATGCCGCCTCCTCTCAAAGCGACTTCAAAGCGTGACCTAAAAAAGGGGCAAAATGCTTTGAGGCATCAGCTTTCCGGCAAGAGGAGCGGCGCTGGCTGGGACTGGGTGTGCACAGGAGCCATTCGGAGTCTGGTTTAACGCAAGGTTGTGACAGGCACTGAATCCAGGGATGTGGTGTCTTCCCTAGGGTCTTAAGTCCAGCGGGATATCGGTCCCTTGTCACTCATCTGTGCGTGTGGCGGCTGTTCTGGTAGCACTGCCGGCTTTCATGGTATCTGATGAAAGTAGCTGTGACCTTTAGAGAGACACGGTGATGGCAGCAAAATAGCAAGGAGAAGAACTGGCAGCACGCTTTGGTGGCGCTTCAGCTAGCAGTGAACAGGGGAAAAAGGGGTCTGTTATTGTATTTATTTTCAATCTTTAGTTCTTGCTGTGCTTTCTGCCCCCTTGATCAAAGAGCGATGTGTTTCCCAGTACCTCCTCTCCTCAAAGCTACCTGCGTGCCATGATGCAGTCTTGCAGTGAGCTGAACAGAGCTCCGTAGCTCTCATGTTCTAAAGCCTGTGCAGCTCCCTTTCCGTGGCACTTTCCAGTGCCCATTTCAAACATAGAATCATAGAATCATCGAATGGTTTGGGTTGGAAGGGCCCTTAAAGCCCATCCAGTTCCACCCCCCCTGCCATGGGCAGGGACCCCTTCCACTAGACCAGGTTGCTCCAAGCCTCATCCAGCCTGGCCTTGGACACTTCCAGGGATGGGCCATCCACAGCTTCCCTGGGCAACCTGTCCCAGTGCCTCCCCACCCTCTCCGGGAAGAACTTCTTCCTGATATCCAATCTAAACCTCCCCACTTTCAATTTAAACCCGTTACCCCTTGTCCTGTCACTACAGGCTCTTGTAAAAAGTCCCCCCCAGCTTCCTTGTAACCCCTTCAGGCACTGGAAGGTGCTATAAGGTCTCCCCGGAGCCTTCTCTTCTCCAGGCTGAACACCCCCAACTCTCCCAGCCTGTCCCCATAGCAGAGGGGCTCCAGCCCTCGGAGCAGCTCCGTGGCCTCCGCTGGACTCACTCCAACCGGTCGATATCCTTCTGATGTTGGTGCCCCCACAGCTGGACGCAGCACTCCAGGTGGGGTCTCACAGGAGCAGAGCAGAGGGGCAGAATCCCCTCCCTCGCCCTGCTGGCCACGCTGCTCTGGATACAGCCCAGGATACGGTTGGCTTTCTGGGCTGCCAGCGCACACGGCCGGCTCATGTCCAGCTCTGGTTCATGTTCATTCACACTCTCCAGCTCTCCATGTGCCATTCAGCGACAGGGTTCAGCGGTCAACCTCCCTTCTCTTCCCTGTTCTTCTGTTTGCAGACAAGAATTCCATTTTCCTTTTTCCCAGGGCTTCCCTCTGTTGCGATGTTTGTCCACTACAACCCCTACACCCCTTTCAGTGTCACCGCTCTCCCGGATATAGATCCCGTCCTGTTGGCATTCGCACGCGGATGTTTATGGCTCGCGTGAGCCCAGTGTCCCCAGCAAGGCTGAGCCAAGCCCTCCCGATGGCTGCACACCCCTACTACCGCGTTACTCCTCCAAATACCCCTTGTTGAGCTTCCACCCCAGTGGCTTTCAGTGGGTTTCCCTCTGGGCTTAGTCTGCCGGGCACCAAGCCAGCCCTCCTGCCTTCTTGGCATGCGGGCCAACATCTCTTTCTCTTCCTGAAGCTGTTAGGGACACTTTCTCCTTAGTGGTTTTAGTTTCCCGCAGCAGCCCACCTCAATCAGAAGTTACAAAGTGCTGGAAAGTGGCTGTTTGCTCCTTATCTCCTTTTTTCCGCTCGCCTTGGGTATTGGCATCGCCCCACACAGCCAGCCAGTAGCAGGAAGGTAAAAAAAAATTTAATGGCCCAGGTCTTTGTCATTACGTTGAGGAGGATGTTGTTAAGCAGCGCTTGAGAGGTGCCACCGAAGGAGGCCCTGTGTGTCTCACTCCACGTCTTGAGACGCTAAAGCAAGATAGGAAGTTTATCTTGTACCTGAAGTTTCCTTTTGCCATTGAGCAATTACTGATCTTGGTCCACATGTTCTTCCTAATTATATTTTTCTCACATTCCCTTTGAAATAGAACCTCTCAGTACCTGGTAGGCTTTTTTCCAGGGCAGCAGTTAGGATGTTAATGTGCAGAGGTACTAAGCCGGGGTGGGATTCCGTTTAGGAAATCGCTTTAGACCTACCGGTTTCCCTGATACATAAGGAAAATTCCGCACGGCCTCAAACAGCTCAGCAGCCTGTCAACGAGTGCAGGGGACCCACAAGACCCCATCCCGTTTGCCTGCAATGCCGCTGCGGTGGGACGCAAGGCCCCAGTGCTGCTGTAACGCAGCAGGAGTGGGAGAGTTGGATACGACAGGGCAGTGCCAGGCTGCTGGGCGTTGCCGGGAGAGGCACCAGGGATAACACCCGGGCATTCCTAGCCCCGTGGCATCTCGGACTGCAGGTGCCCGCAAACGAGGGAGGAACCCGGGGACTCATCCCTGGGTTTGGTGATACAGGATGGGACCCGTTTCCCTGATGCTCCTCGGCTACTTTCAGAAAGTAGCTGTCCTTTGAGGACGGTGGGGATGCAGAGGTGGTAACCCAAACCCTAAACTTGCAGCCGTGAGGCCAACAAGCCTCGCGGCAGAGATGGCAAACAGAGATAGAGGAGGAAATGGATGTGACAGATAGAGCAGCAGCGTTTCTTGGTGAGCTCGGGCTGATGGCACGACCCGGTTCCCCGGGAGGGTGAGGGGACGCTATGGACGCTGTGGGCACCTGCACACGTGGCCAACAGCAAAGTGCCGGCAGGTCCACAGGGATGCGAGCCTTTCAGATCTGGGGGGTCATTTCGTATCCAACACAGCCTACAAATCCCAAGTTTGCTGTGCAGCAGAGGCTCCAGCCCACGTCCGACTTTGTGTCTGTTCTGAACAAGTAGGGCATCCACCCTCAGCAAATGTTTTATCGCTCCCCATGAGCTACTTACGGAAGCACCCTTTTTAGCAAGGGCTGGAGCTGAGTTCCCTCTTACTGCCCCTTTTTGCCTGCAATCCTTAATTTGCATCTTGCTGGGGCTGCACTTGTCGGACCGTTCCATGTGCTGGAGAAAGCAAAGGCTGTTAAACCCACTTATTAGCAGTTGCTTTCTAAGCCTCAGGTTGTTATTTATTTGCTATTTTTAAAAAAAGTACAGCAAGCTGGACAGTTTTCTTCTTTTTTCTACCTCAGTGATGAAAACACCAGAGCTATTCATATCATTTTTAATGACTGTTAATGTGCCTCTCGCTTGAGAGGCAGGCTGGATCATCCTGGTTTGATGAAGAAGCAATCAAATCACAATGTGCCACTGGAATAACAAGCAAGTAGTGGAACAATAGCCAATAATGACATATTTGTGGGTAAATTATTTCAGATAAGTTTGGAGAATAATATATGGGTCATTAATGGAAATCTGTGAGTCCCACCCAGATGACCCAGCCAGTTTACCAAATCCGGAAGGCGAAGATCCGGCGATGTCTAAAGCAGTCAAGCACCTGAGCGGTGGCAGGGAGTCCCTTGAGCTGTCACAGAGTTATCGACAAGGCGAACCCAACGCTTGTCCTCCTGGGCTAGAACTGCTTAAGGGAGAAGTTGTTGGTGTTGGATTTGTCATGCAAATAGATGAAGAACAGCCCTGCTAGGTGGGCCTTGGGGGCTGGCACTCGTTCTTCTCTCAGCAGCACCCAGCTCCCGGTCACAGAAAAATGCTGAGGGGGTTGAATTGAACAACCTTAGGCAAGAGCACAGACTTTTAGCTCTAAATTTAAAACTTCCTGTTATCTTGGTATCCTAAATGGTCTGAATGTTTACAGAGGAAACAAGGGGGAAAAAAAAAAAAGAAAAAAAACAGAAATAAAAAGGATGATGTGGAGCTGTGGGATGGGCATAAAGGACCTCACAGGGTCTGCAAGTGCTCTCTGCAGGATAGGTGGGCTTTGCTTCTCTTTTTTACTGGCACACTTTAATTCTTTACAGCTTTGCCTGAAGGAGTCGGTACCTGTCACTGCCATCCTCAGTTTGCGCTCCTTCGTCCTCCCTGACCTCAGACCTTCCCTCCGCGAGCCCCTGACCAGGTTGGGCGCCGTTGGGCGCATCGCAGGAAGGGAGGCGCAGCCTTGCCATATGAAGGTTTCCCGGTGTTCAGTGGCCCCCGGTTTCTTGGTGGATGCGGTCGATGGGCAGTGGGTGGGCACCACAGCCATTTGCCCGCACGTCTGTGCCCAGAGAGCGCCGTTTGCAGCCCGTCCACGGCGCGGCACAGGATGGCGCGCGGAAGGAACGCCTTAAATCGCCTCCCTGCAGGTCAGAGCAGCACCCGCTGCGCTGTGACAAAACAAGTTCGGCTGTAATGTCTTAAAAAAAACAGTCTAGCACTCGTCACATTTCCTGTGACTAAGATTTTCCAGGTTCTCTTGTAGTATCTAAGAGAGATGCCTTCAGAGATCCCGAGATGCTCGTTTGCTGCCTGTTAGGGTGAACCCTTTGAGTACCGGATCGCTTGTTTCTGGTCCCCTGCAAGGGCACAGAACGTGCTGCGGGCTCCTTCACCCACAGGGTATGGCAGGGCCCAGGAATCTATTCAGGAGGTGCACAAAACTTCTTCCTATTAGTTCTTCTCACGTCCTCCTACCTGACGGCACACCCAAACCCAGTGCAAATGCCGAGCATCCGCATATTCCCCGGCACGCGTCGTGTGCCTCTCACGTGCCCGTGGATCTGTGGGCGCCACTCACTCCTTGAGGCTTGGTCCCTTCACATACCACCCCGTCGCAAGAACTTAACAGCGGGGAGACTGATCTCTTTTAGCCTTCAGGCCTGGAAATTGCTCTGACTGTTCACCCTGGCGTTCCTGCTCGGCACAGGGAGCCGTACCTAGTGAGCCCTGCAGGAAAAACAGCATCATGTGGCTGAGCTATAGACCCTTCTCCTACGAGAATTTTGGGATACCTTTCTTGACGTCTCCAAAGCTGTGGAGAAACCACCCCATCAGCTGCTCCCATCAGTGCTACATACCCTATGTAGCAGGAACGCGCAGCTAATTTCTGGTTTGAATGGATCTCACCCCAAATTCCAGTCACCGAAAGTCATTATCCTTCCATCTGCTGGTGAGGAGAGCCTTCCAGCTGATTCCCATCATGGAAAAAGCACAGCCTGAGTGGCCACCCGCTATTGCCTTTTCTCAGCTCAGGTAAAGTTTCTCCAATTCCTTGATCCAGGTGAAATTTTTCCAGGCCTCAGGAAATCTCATCTTCATGACCTTTCTCCAGGTTCTCCATCGCTTTTTTTAATTGTTTCAAGGCTAATCGGAAGGTCTCCGAGACGTTTCAGCTATTCTCAGGAAAGCTCCTCCATACAGTTAGCCCATGCCTGGATTTTAAGCGCATTTTAGCATAAGCAATCGCTGCTCTTATAATTTATTACTTTCTGCCAGATCAAAGGTCACTTATTTACCATTGGTTTTGTTTCCTGACCCACAAGACATCTTTAAGGAGCGTTTGTACCTCTCCTGCATCACTGCTGCTAAGTCACACCATCCCTTGTCTAACAGCAGCTCTGCACGACGTCCACAGTTTCTGCTGTTCCTAAGGAGATGCAAAATATCCTTATTGTCCTTATCCCACTGCCTGTAAATTTTCTACCTTACACCCCCGTTCCTCTGGGCAGTTTGGCCAAAGAGTTCTTTGGGAAGGGTTTTCTGCCATGCTTTGGGGTTGTTTTCCCCCTTTTCAGTGCTGGACTAACGGTCTGTCTCTTCAGCTGGTGATAAGAGAGGAGACTTGATGTTTTCCCATCCCTTCCTCTCGCAGCCTTTTGGCCCTGAAGAAGGATGATGCCAAGATGATCCTGTGCTATGCGATGCTGGAGGGAAACTGTCTCTCGTCGGTGGTCACCCAGGCCTGGAAGGAGTTGGAAGAAAGTGTCCTTGGGTTCGGAGATTCGGTAAAGATGCTGATGTCCACCTTTGACCCCCCTGGTGTGCAGGGCTCCCTGCGGTGCTGGCCGACAGCGCCGTCCTTTCGGCTGCCACCTCCTGGGGGAAGCTGACCTGGGTGACCAGGGATACTGGAGCTCCAAGCCAGGGATACAGGAGCTCCTCAGTCTCCTTTTCCCCCCACCCTGACCTCCCCGCTGCATCCACCCCAGGTGTGTGACAACCTCGGGCGGCGTCACATGGACCTGTGCCCTGACTGCGCTTTCTGCTCGCTGAAGAGGGAGCAGTGTCAGAACCCCCAAAAAGTGAACCGGGTGCACTGCAGGACAGGCAGCTTCACCGTCTACATCAACCCGCAGATCTCAATCCAGCACCAGGTTGCGGCCATCAAGGTACCCCGTGTCCTCCGGCCTCGGGCAGGGGGCTGGACCGGGTGGTGGGGATGGGGAGGAGGAAGCATGGCTCTCTGATGGCTCTCTGTCCCAATCCTTTGCAGGCCAGCTCCCTGGAGACCTCGGACTACTATGGCATGGAATTTTTCAGAGAGATGAGGGCAGAGTACTGGTGCAGCCGGATTGCCACCTACGGCTGCGAGGACCCTCGCGTGACCCTCTGGCTGAAGGCAGATAACGCCACCTTCCGAGACGGAAGTGCTGCAAACGAGGTGAGTGCTCAGTGGGTGCTGCTGTCCCTCCCTCTCCCCTTCTTTCCCTGACCTTCCTCCCCCATCTCCCCAGATCTGCGACTCGAGCGGCTTTCAGCACCCCACCTACTGCGCGTTCAAGAGCCACCAGTGCCTCCAGCGAAGTCTCTACAACGTGAGGGTGAGAAGCAGCCCCTACTGCCCCATACCCAGCCCTCCTCCCCACGGCTGGTCCCTCTGCAGCCCGCCCCAAGTCCCTGTGGGGTTCGCTGGCCGACTGCTTTTCCCTCCGGTAGGACAGAACCGTGGGTGTCTGGGCGGGGGGTGACAAACAGTGACCCAGGAGCAGCTAAACTGAGGTGGTGGGGGGTTGCACAAGCATTGAGGGAGATGGCGGGGGAGACAGCCCCTCATGTTGCGAGAGGGGAGCTGCGGGGAGTCTCCCACCCGTTGCGGTATCCCCGGATATCCCTGCAGAGGAGGGTCTCCCCCATCGACCGGGTGCTTCCTAGGTGGTAACAAACACCAAAACCACCAAAGCAGGACAGAGGACTAGCACGCATCTCGGCAAACACACAGTTCAGCCACCATCCTCTCCCTCCCTCCTCCCAGCTGGTCCTCCCCTCTGGTGCCCCCATCATCCCAGCCTCCAGATGCCATCCGTCACGGGGATCCCCTTTCCCTGGGGGAAGGAAGCATCAGCCCCGTGATCTCGGGCTCTCCTTGCAGGTGTCTCGCCAAGACTGCCACAGGAACGAGACGTACCGAGTGCTGAGCGAGAAGGAGGGAGAGGAGGAGGTGCAGCTGTGGCACCAGAGGTTCCTCAACTTCACCAAGGGATGATGCACAGTGGCAAGGGGATGCACAGGAAACGCAGGGCTCCAGAGCCGGCTCTCTGGGAAAAGCAGAGGGGCTGCTTTGACCCACAGGGCCATGGGGAGGAGGACAGGTCAGAGTATGCTCAAGAAACCAGAGCTGGGGAGGGACAGAGAGCCTGGGTAGACTTGGAAAAGCTCTTCCCAGGCCCCTTGCTGGTGAGCCAGCTCGCCACGGCCAGATCTCACCCTCCAAGCGCCCGCTCCGTGCTGGTGGCAACGGCACTCCTTGAGGACAGCGTTTCACCGTGGCACTGCTG